GGAAAAGGGGAAACTCTAACACAGTGGCATGACAAAGGTTACTGATAAAGTGACCCCAAGCAATGATGATGTGAAAATACCAAAGCACCTTCTTCTGTACTGTGCTTACCCTGCCACTTAACTCCGTTGGTCTTGTGGTTATTGCTGTCCCGATAACCTTGTAACAGGGTATGCTCGTGTCCTATGTCTTGAGGCATTTGCTTAAATTAAAAATATTTGGCAGATGAATTTTCTTGAATGATAATAAAACACATTATCACAGTATCAGAAAGAAGGGGGAAAAAGTAAAGACCTATAGATTTTTAGCATCTACACTGAAAGAGATTTGGCCCCTTATCAAGGTTTTTAATGTAAGAGAACCCCAAACTCTTGATGAGTTATTATTGCCATACAGTTTGTAGTCACACTAAATGGTATTTTGTTTTGCTTTAATTCAACCTATTCTTCCAGGACATTCTGACTCAGTACCTATTTCTTCCTGTGCTTTGGGTATTGTTCTTCCCCCTCTCTCCCTCCCTCCTTCCTTCCTTCCACTAAACCGTCTTGTTCACTTCGATTTGGAAATCATTGCCTAAAAAGTAAAAGCTGGCTTGTTGAAGTAAATTCCTTCACCTCGAATTATACCCATCAGTGGGTTGCAAGACTTTGGGAAATCTTTTAGATAAGGGAAAACTAAAATTTACTCAATTTAAGAGACTAAGCAGTACCAAATGTTTTATAAATTTCAAAGACCAGGAATTAACAGAGCTCAATGATCCCAACTTCATGTTTGTAAAGACTCTGTTAAGGACTATTCTTTCATCTAATTTTTCAGCCCAAATTCTACACCATCTCCAAGTTCCCATTTCTCTAGTGATTTATTTATTTAGTAGATCTTTTTCTGGCGAGAGGAAGACTCTTGCGAAGGCAATTTCCCCTATGGATATGGCTTTTCTTATAAAAGAACAGCTCTTTAGATCCACTCCAGTGTCTACAGCTCTTCAAAATGACGTGATCAAAATAATCATTATGCCAAAGAGGTATATTATGCGGTCCATTTTCTGATCTTATACAGAATTTGAAAAATTGTGCCCTAAGTCCCTTCTGGAATTAAATGACTACTCTATCCACCTGACAGTTTGGACTTCTTCGAGCATGGGTTTAAGTAATACAAGAATTCCATCTGTATCGTCCTTTCTTCATCTGGAAAAAGAGGGAATGGGACTCTTAGCCAGGTAGGCAGGGTAGACACATGTTTGAATTTCTAGCACATGGGCGATAAAGGCAAGAGTTTAAGTATATTTTCTGCTGCATAGTGAATTTGAGAGCAACATGTTATGTGAGATTCTATCTCAAAAACAAAACAAAAAACAAAGAAAAAAGAAAGAAAGAAAAGAGATTCAATGGGATAAACCAGTTAAAGTATCACACAACACTTGGTAATACATTCTGCTGCAATGGTTACTATTTCCGTAACTATTGTGGTTTATTTTAGAAAAGTTGCTGTCAGTAAGGACCATGCATTGGGAGTCAGATAGAGATGGAAGGTAAACTTGGATATATGTGCACAGATCTAGGAGAGGGCCGTGACTTTGGCAATGCTCTGGTAGTGGGATTTAAGGAATAAGGGAGATGAAAGTTTGGAAGCAGGAAGAAGACAAAAGAACTGAGAGAGGCTAGGAAGTGCTTGGGCTCATAGACCAGCAACCACAGGCATTAGTATTTCATCAGGATCCTTCCAGAACCCTTGTACTTAACCTAGAAAACACTTATTACTAATGAGGCTGCTTACTGTCTTCTGGCATTGAAGCTTCCTAACGCTTCATCTTACTTAAATTATGCATTTGGTAGCCAGCATGAGAGCACAAAGTAGGTGATCAGACAAATGATGGTTGACTTGACTTTTATTTGCTTGATTAAGAAGTAGGTATTTAAGTCCTAAAGTAGTAGCTGCTAATACATGAACTCTTGCTTGAACCCTCCAGGGACATGAGAACGCATGCTGGCAGTTGGGGGACATAGCCAAAATTTGTTCATTTTGACCAAGCTTCTGGATGCTCTTGGAGCATGGACAAGCTCACAAAGACCTGTCTTTGTCCTCGGAATGGTGTGCCAAATGCTGTATTGCTCTCTGTTTTTTTTTTTTTTTCCGTCAAGTTAAGAACCCTAAACTCCTGGTAACCAGTGGCCATGCTGTGATATTATGCAACACCTCCTGGTGGAGCCCTGGTCAGGGGATAAATGAGGCAATGCATTCCTGAAGTTATGGCAGGCCCACTGGGTCCACTTGCAGGACACTTTTGCCCATCTCTACTATGTCCCCCTGTTGTTCCTTAATGGTTTTCTCATCTCTCCCCATAAAGATCATGTTTCAAGATTTAGGTTGAAAGTTTGACAGCCGTCTCTCCTGAGGTCACTTGGAGACATCCCTTCAGAAACTTAATGAGAGCCATATTAGGTTCATCCAAAAGAGCTGCCCTCAGGCTGGGGAAGGAGAAGGGCTTAAAGGGGTAGAGGAACAAAGGCATCTTGAGCACTGGAGGCAGGCAGAGCAATGGATGCTTTGCTTGAGAAGAAAGGATGTCACTCCATCATTATCTATTGTTGTATGTTAGGGCAAGACCCTCTTTTCTCCATCTTACTAGTTCCTTGTTCTAGACCATAGGAATGAAATATTTCCTCTTCAGGTTGCTACTGCTATCTATCCGAGGAATGATACCAAAAGGTGATTAGCCCTTATGAACAGCTTGCTCAGAACGGCTCATGCAGAAATCAATGGAATCACATGAACAAACAAGAGATATTTTGGAGAAAATAATGGTCTAGAGTGAGGAGAATGGAAGAAACCCATGCTGTGATGGGAGTGCTGGCCCTAGTGAAGGCCACAAGGAAAGGAGGGAGCGGTCCATTGAGCCTCAAGTCATAGAATGTCATTGCTTGGGTCCCTGCCAGGATGGTCATGAAACCCAGACTAGTGACTCCGCTCAGAGCCCTGCTACAGGGCAACAGCTTAGGTTTAATATAAGTACCACTCAATGTCTAGGCAGAAGTGGCTAGCAGTCTGTCCCATGGGTCTGGGATATGGGACAAGTAGAGAAGGATGTTCTTAGAGCCAGCAATGGGCGATGTGGTGTTATGGCTCATGGTGCTGGAAACAAAGATTCTCAGAAATCGGGCTCAGAATTTGGGTACACACTGAAGGCTCTGCCAGCCTTTCTGCTTACTCCTCTCCATTTTCTCATTGCATAGATTAGCAGAAAAAAACCCTAGTATTTCAAGGTGCCTAGGTCTAATGCTCACAATGCATTTTCTCATGTTTTTGCAAGTCTCAGCTGAAAATGACATTCACATGCAAGAGCCACTTCGCCTATGCTCTCAGTTCCTTGCTATCCCCATCTGCCCACTCCTGAGCACAGTGTGCCGCTCACAGAGATGCAGCTGTCCCCACATTATGCTCAGTGGCATGTCACTATCCCCTGTTATTAATGTAAGAGCAAAGAATGCTAAGGAGATGCCCTCCTCTTAGGAGCTGCATATGAAGCGGCTGAGAAACACCCTATTAAGACCTGAAAGAGGCAATTTCAATTTCCTGTGGCTGTGGTGATGCCACCAACATGGTGATTACATATGCTGAGCAAATGCCATGCAGCAGGATGCCCTGTAATTGTGGACCCCAGGTCGTGGGTTTCAGATAGAGGTGCAGATCTGGCAAAATGGACAAGCCTTGCCAGGATGTGCTTGTGAGTAGCATGTACTTTACAGGCATGCATTTCAGAGGTGCTGCAGTTGGTTTTTTTTCCCCCCTTTAGTTTAGGGTGACCATCCCATCGCCATCTTGGGATAGAGATAACTTCAGGTAGGTACCCCCGGCCATAATCTAAGCATAATAGTGCAGTAATAGATCTATGGTAATGGAAATAGAGCTGTTAACACTGTATAGTAGAAGGTGTCTGCCCCAATATACTCACGTGGAATTCTACCCATTACTTACTTCTGCCTGTCCCAGCTGCCAGTGATCTCAGGTAATGTTAGCGTACGTAGAGGAAGGTATAAGGTTCAGTGAAGGGAAATTCATGGTGCAGTCCCATGAAGGTGTCATCCAAGATGGAGGAGGACTTGCTGGTTACGTAGCTGTTTTGGGGTTACCTCTAGTACTATAAGTAACCCTGTACCCAATTCTATAAGTAAGAGCAATGGACTCATTGGTTCATCAAGCTGAACTTACATAGCATCATTATTTTGGTCTGTTTTGGATAATATATTTGTAGGAGTTGATGTTTATTCATAGCTCCTCAGGAAAGGTGAATGGAACATGGGAGTTATTCATATGAGAGGTGAGAGGGGCTACAGAGCAGTGAGGCCCAGAGATTGTTACTCCTGATAAGGAAGATTAGAGCCAGAGAGGAATTATGGGAAGAAGGTCAGGATTATAGATCTATTTATTGGGAAAGTGAGGACTGGCAGTTATCAAATCCAAGGGAACACCCAAATTCTATTCATTTGTTTATTAAATATATTTTGAATGCCTGCAGAGACACATGCTCTATGTAAGACAGGCATCATAACGTGGAATAAGAAGGAAGTATTTCCCCCCAAGTTAAAGTCTAATTACAGCCGATAAGCGTTTGAACAAGCACATAGCAAGGCCAGGTTGAGACTCCAGATTTCTGAGTTGTCAGGTATTGATGTCTCCTGAATCTCTAGGACAAAGAACCCAAGACTGGCATATCAGTTTGTATTCACTAACAGGTGGTTATAAGACCAAATTCTTGAGAGTTGGGGACCCCTAAGAACTGCAACAGTTAGGTTCCAAAGGCTTGCAATTTGTGTGATGGATTTTTATTATGAGAATTAAAATATTTCATCAACAACTTTTATATTATCTTTATGCTACAGTACTGATACTTTGCATATATTGGATTAAATAAAGCATATCACAAATTAAACTTATCTTGTTTTAAAATCTTAAAAAATATGATTAGCAGAAAATTAAAAATATGTCTACCTTTTTCAAAAATTTATTTTATTAATATGTATGTGTGTGTCTGTGTAAATGCACCTACACTTGTCTGTAGTTACCCTCAGAGGCCAGAAGAGAATGTTGGGTCCCCTGAAACTGGAGTCACAGGTAGTTGGGAGCTTCTAGATATAAGTGCTGGGAATCAAGCATACATTCCAGTCTTCTGCAAGGTCAGCAAGAGCTCTTGACTCCTGAATGATCTCTCCAGTCCCTTGTCTTACATTTTATACTGTTGGGAAATGATCACTGGCCAAAGTAGAATGAGGGGACAGCTATACTTTTCTTCAGGTACCCTGTGATATCATTCTAGATTTATACTTGCACACACAATACCAACTCACAAGGACAAGAGGCACCGAGGACCACAGTACGGAGCATAGCCACCAGACATAGCTTCGGAAATATAGCAGAAAGTAACTTTTGCACTGAAGTAATCTCATCTGGGTTCTAATCCAGGTTGGATTGCAGTGATGATTTGTAAAATGACCTTGGGTAGTAGGTGCTAATCCTTCACCTGTAAAATGGGCAGAATTAGGTTAAATTTCCATTGAGATAATTTTGGATATTGTTTTTATCCTCCCCATTCTGAATCTTATTTATTTTCTGTGACTTTGTTTCTATGATCTTCTGTCATCGAACCCAAACCCATCTTAGTTGTCATCAATGCATTTTTGATCCTGGCCAATGAAATCCGCAGACACCATCCTAAATTTGGTTTCGGGGTCTCTTATCCTAGATAATGAAATGTAGTCTCGTAGCCCTGTTGACTACTTTTCTGTTAAGTTGCAAACAAAAATGTTCAACAAAAATAAGACAAGTTACCTCCGGCAGCGTATAGATGTCATTTCTGATTTCTTCCTTTCAAATTCTTTGCTGTCATCAAATGACACTGGGGATTGAGGCGATTTTCAAAAAGGCAACGTCAAATTATTGAACAAAAATTCTTTCTGAGGAATATGAGACTCAAGAGTTAATTTTCTTGGTATACATATCAAAATGGGGAATAAAAACAGATAGGTAACAGGCAACCAACCTAGGGTGGCACTTCTGCCCTCTGTAAAGAGATGATTTCATCTTAGGGATATCTAGAGCCAATTGACTACAGTGCCCATTTTTTCCACACTACAAGAGGCAGGGTCATCCTGAGATCTTGCCACAAGCCTTGACTCCCTAGATTGCCAACGTATTCTGGAAGCTGACAACTCCAGCAACAAATAACTCTCAGGTGTGGTAGAAAATGGGGACTTGCTTACTGGATTCTCTATAAACCAGTTCTTGTGAAAATTGGTTCAGGATGGTGGGAAGCAGCTGCTAGAGTTCTAGGAAGTGAACTCAGGGAGAGAAAGTACCGTCTTTAGCAGTGGCGACCGTGGAAGAAAGCGCATCTACAGCATTAATAATGGAAACACCTCTAGACTCAGCACTCGATCTGCTCCCTGACAGACTGTCCCATCCATCCATCCATCCATCTTTGGATTTCCGTGCTGAGGAAAGCTCTGAGACCACTGTGCCAACACAAGAGGTAGAAGAGCCTTGTTGAGATCGGGTGTATCTGTTGGGGTTTTCATATGGCGGGAAATCTATGAACACAGGCATATTAGGAGCCTTTCTGAGCCTGTTTTTCTTCATGTATATAATTGGACCAGTTGTCTAGGCTTACAGAGTTATGAAGGCTACATGAGTTATAAGCAAAAAGATATCTTTGTGTTAAAATAGTCACTTCAAGGATAGAGAAAGATCTTGGCAATTCTGGACAGAAAGAGGTTAATATGAAGCTTTCTTTTTCATTTAGGATTTGTGGGGAGGAACAGAGTTATGAACAAAGATTTATAGAATGTTGACTATTAACTTTAAGAAATCTGATAGAAATAATTGGACTTATTTATTGTGGAAAGTTTGGGGAATAACATTTAAAAATGAAAAAAATTTGAATCAGACACTGAGAACTAATGTTTATTAAGATTTTGGGACATTTGTAGCATATATTTCTTAATTTGATAAAACAGAGGTGAAAGAAAGTTCTGGTCACTGAATATTATTTGAACACAGAGGCTTGGCATGAGCTTGGAGGGGAATTTGGTTCTGTGTCTGAAATAGAAGGGAAAATAATCTTGGAAGCAAGTCAAGCAGATTTTGGAGAGGAAGATAACAAGAATCCCCTCCCGCTTTTTCCTGGGCGGGAAGAGACCCATTCAGTCTCAACTTTCTCTGTGTCCCTTTCCTGTTGCTTGACCTGACTTTTATCAATTCCTTAGGCACATTGACAGAATTTGCTGTGAGGAATTCCCTCTTGTACCTAACAAGTGAACACAGGACTCAGACCATGCATTTCCCGGTGGAACTGTCTCCACCAGAGTGTGCTTATCATGTGTAAAATGAAGCTCCTTTAATCAGGAGTTCATGCCAGGCTCCTCAGTGGTTGTTTCGGAAATGAAGAGAATCCTTCTGGGCCTTGCTTACATATAAAGATCTTCCCGAAATCTTTGTCCATAGAGATGAGAAGGCCCAAAATTTAGATACCTTTCTGATTAAAAGATGGGGTAATTGGGCAGGTGCAAAAAGGGGTGTGTGTGTGTGTGTGTGTGTAAGACAGAGGCAAGGAGAGACAGACAAATTCTAAGCTGTTGTGAAGGATAGAGAACAGAAAAGAGAAAAAAAATCAAGGAAATTATATGAAGAGAAGGCAATAAAAGGAGCAGAGAAGTGGGGGGTGATGGGAAGGAGACAGGAAAGGCTGCTTGAGTGACAGAGACAGGGGAGACAGCCATTACTACTCAATGATTAATACCGGATTAAATGAAATATTCATGAAAGGAAATTGGAGCTATAGACAAATCCAAATGCCGCTTCCCTGAAGCCCTTCCCCCTCTTGCTCTCGAAAGTGAATTCCTTGGAGATTCATGCCCTCTGTTGTCATTACCTGGGAGCAGTTGATAGATGTGGCCAGGAGGTGAGGTTTGTTTCTTGGGTGTCATTTGGCTCCATTACAAATAATCCTGTGGTTCTGCTTCAGTTGCTTCTGAGATTCTGTGAAAGGCAAGACACATTTGAGAAGGCTCTTAGTGCCTTGGAGATAATCCAGAAGGCCCTTCCTTTCTTTGAGCACCCATCTGTGGCAGCGTCTCAGAGTTTCCTAAGGTATTCTTCCTTACCAAGAGATGCTTGAAAATGGCTGAAAACATTCCCCCGAGGTTAGACGCAAACTCACACATATCCCTCCAAGTCTGTCATTGGTATGTAGCAAAAGCTCAAAGTCCAAGACACTGCCATGTGTCATGTGACATCTGCTCAGCCCCTGTCAATCAATGCAAGGGGTGGCACCATCTCTCCCAGCTTCTTATCTCTGTGCGGACACCCCTTTTTATCTCCAAGCAAGCATTACCTATAAGAACATGAAAGCGCTCTCCATAGAATGAATAACTGGATATTTCCCCATTCCTTTCCCTCTTCCCCTTGGCTTTCTACAACATGGGATGAAACTGGTCCCCCACTACTGGATGTTGTTCCCTGGGGATTGGCATTGAAATTGGCACCCGGCCTCTGGAATCTGCACTCCTCTCTGATAGAAATTTACCTTGGGCATCCTTGTCTGGAAGCTCCACTTTGTATACAACTTGTCAAAAACAGCTGCTTGTTTTCCTAGAAAAATCTATCTGGGGTAGATTACTCTTGCCTTTGCCTGGTCTCTAAAGCACAAATTTCCTGAGCTCCAAGGAGAAGATAAATCTGGCAGCTGTATCAATTCTTATACTATGGAAATGATTTGACCTGTCAATTTTCTGCTATGATGGTATGTAAAATGTGTTTTAAAATTCTTCTTATTATTATATTATTTATCTTAGTGTCTTCATTTGACATGGAAATGAAGCAGACGTGACAGTAAACAGTTGTAATCCCAGCACTCTGGGAATGAAGCTGAGATGGGAGCATCACCATGTGCTGAGGTCAGCCTGGCCTACAGAATGAGGTCCTAGCTCACCTAGTCTTCCTCTGAAATTCAAATGGAGCGGACAACATTTACTTCCATGATGCTGTCTGAAGATAGAGTGTCCCCAAATTGTGAAACCTATTCCGCCGTCACATATTGCAGTGAGTCTGAACGTACTGCAAATTATAAACACTATCTTTCATGGCTGAGTCCACTGCGCCTGTGCACAAATCCTAGCTATGTAGTGGAGACTCAGACACAGGACAGTCCTTAGATCTTCTGAGGACCATATTTGCTTCTTCATATTAATTCTTCTTGTCTTGGTTTATTTTGTCTTGAGACAGGGTCTCATTGTGTATTTCTGACAGGTCTGGAATATGCCATGTGGATCAGGCTGGGCTCAGACTAAAGAGATCTCTCGGCCTCTTAGTGTTGGGATTCAAGGTGTGTAATGCTGTGCCAGCTCTATTCTTAATTCTCTTTCAATCATTAATCACAATGCTGCTACTATCTCTATCCCCCATTCTACAACCCTCAGTCTATGGTGTTGACTTCATGAATGACTCAGACATTTAGACTATACCAGCTATCATAAGACTGTAAAGCTTTCAAGAGATAAATATATGGAAATCCAAATACCGCTTGACAGAGCACAGAGGACCTGCATCCACAGATGACAATATGGATGGCACATCAAGAGCCCATTGCATAAAGATTAGTCTTTCAAGGCACAGCCTTAGAGAATCCTGCTTCATTTTAGCACAGTAGTGGTGTGGATGGACCACAGTACTTCATTAATTCTACATAACCAGGGTCTATCATCTGTACTATATACATGGCTGTCTGCAGGTGTTTGATACAATTGATTCATTAAATGACTACACATAGGATATGTCCTGGATCATATTTCCTGTCTAGTACTAAATATTCCAATACATCATTCCTTTTCCTTATTTATCTTGTTGACTGAACATCTTTCTGCAAATCTTTAAGCTTTGCCTGTTTGCTTGTTTTTTTTTCCTGTCATATGCTCAGGATTAACACTGTACTTAGCCTATATTGCCACTCATTCATTGTTGATTTAACATCCATCTTTACTGATTTTTTTATTTAGATGACATTTACACCTCTTTTGTAAAGCAAAAGCAAACGAAATATGTAACACAAGTCTGTATCTTTTTTCTTATGTAAATGATTTAGCATATCTTATTCCAGAATGTTCTAAACAACACTAAAATAATAAAAAGGTAGTGTCTACAACACTATTGGTGAGTAGTACTCTACTGAATTAATTAATCTTGAAAATAACCTTTTTATATAGACGAAGGGGACAAAGGACAGAGTGGTTAGGTAATCTACCCCAAGTATCCTAGCAATTGTTATAAGCCTAGCATTTAAGTCCAGATAATAAGATCTCCGAGCTTGTAAATTTAATCACAACAATACATTATTTCTAAATATGAGTTTGACTGTTGGCAGTGAGTAGGTAGATCTATTATTAAGGCTAAATCTTATATGCAAGTATTATAATTTCTTTTCTGTTACTATAAAGAAACACTTTGACCAAACACAAATGGGGAGGAAAGGTTTATTTTGCTTATATTGCCAGGCCACAGTCTTTCATTCAGGGAAATCCAGGAAGGTGCTCAAATGGGCATCGTAGTTCTCTGAGAATGTGTGATGTGTGAGAAGCAAGAAAGTTGGAGTCACGAAACCTTGATTTGATCTTTCTGATGTTCATTAAGAAAGACAAACATTAACAGTATTTCCTCCCTCCACAGCCTCCTAAGACTGGGCCAGGATACATGGGTGATGGTTCCTTAATCAGAAATGTGATTTGTGAAAGTGATATTGGATGTGCCGAAACAAGCAGTCTTGGGAAGCATCCGTCTTGCCTACCATGTGGCCATTGAACATCTTTAGTAGGCAGCCAGATGACTTTTAGTAGATAAATGGCTCTGAGCTATCTCAAGAACATTCAGAATGAGGCTGGATGTTAGACCCTTAGCAGGTGCTGAGGGCTTTGAGTCAGCCTAGGACACAAACTTCCTTTTGTGGGAGGAAGCACAGGATCAAGTGAGAGAATTTTGAAGAGCAAAGGAGTGACTTCATTTTTAAAACCCTTCTTAACTTGACAAGAACCTTGGCTATAAGGTCAAGATTGGAAGATTCCATCTCAGAGATGTAAGAAGCTTGCTCTTTCTATATGGGAGGAAAGACAAAATTGATTCTTCAAGGCAGACAGGCCTGGTTGTTCTGCACATTTGGAAGGAAGACTGAATTTGTGAGGCAACAGAACAATTTCCATGGCAACAGACTGTCTGGTATCAGAAGAACAAAAAAACTAAAGGTTCCACATCCCAACTCAGTATTTATGTGATGTTTATCACATTGCCTCCTAGGATGCGAAGGGCATGCTCTCTCTGCAGACTCATTTCTGTCGAAACGATGCTGACATGCACTCCACGTTATTCATGCCAGCATTTTTCAGTTCTAAAAACATCTCTCCTTGTGTCTTCAAAAGATTCTAATAGTTTGAAGCGAGCTCTTAGGGCCTTTAAAAAAAGATTTTGTTAGGTCTCCAGGGAGTGACACTAGAGATGGTGAGATCTGTATTTAGGGTCTAAGGTTTGGATTTTTAGGTTACATGTAATTGACATTGTCTTCAGTATGTGGACAATAAGAAGAACACTTGAAGGACCTCGATGGATCCTTTATTTCAGAGGGTCATCAGGCAGGGTGCAATAGATTGGTCTGGTCCCTGGTAAGCACACTAGTCCCTGTTCCCACAGTCGTCCTGCTACTGATAAATTCCCTGTGCCAGAGAAGCTGTCTTCTTACATTTGAGTAAGAATCTTTATTCCTTCCAGGAATGTCTGAGCATGATTAGCATCCTGAATTCATCAAGCAAACACTTTGTTATTGGCTTTATTCCTGAGCTCAGACTTCTCTCAAACTGCAAAGTCTGACGTCATTGCTCCAGAGGAGTCAACTCTTCTTATTCCTGTTTGCTTAAATCGGAGGTCAAGTGTGCCTAACCATTCTTCTCCTGTTTGTAGCCCAGAGAAATCTGTATATTAATCCCTAGATCCAAAGTAAGTACAGAAAAATGAGCATGAATTGCTGTGTATTTCTAAAGAGAGAGAGAGATACTGACTACAGTGTTCTAAGATTTCCATATGAGTGGTCATACATGTCTTAAGGTATAGTAGAACTCATTCAATTGTGCATTCGAAATTGGTCAATTGTTTGTATGGTATGTGAGTTACATTACAATTTAAATCTATTGTATGATTGATTTCTTGTACACCAAGGTAATCAGAGTAAATAATAATATGTTATGTATTTCAAAATTTTACTAAGTCTGTAGAGATGTGATGTAATATGTCTTAGATATTGCCCTGTTGTTAAAGTGTCACCACGACCAAGGTAGGTTATAGAGGAAAGAATTCAACCAGGGGCTTGCTCACCATTTCAGAGGGATTAACCATCACCATCACGGCGAGGGGCATAGCAGCAGGCAGGGAACCAGGGCATTGGAGCAGCAGCTGAGAGTTGGCATCTGATCAGTAAGTTGTAGGCAGAGAGAGGAGAAAGCCTAGGCCTAGTGTGGGCAAGGCATATCCCCAGTGACACACCTCCTCCCACAAGGCCACAGGTACTACAAAAAAGCCATACCTTCTAATCCTTTCCAAATAGTTCCACAAACTGTGGACCAAGCATTCAAAGATATGAGACTGTGTGGGCCATTCTTATTCAAACCACCATATAATACATAAGTTAATTTGATCAGTTTAATTATTTTACAATGCTTGTTTATATTTTAAAGTATCATGGCTTTGATCGTGAATATATGCTATTTTATTTAACAAATACAGACCTGCATTTAAGAGCTATACCTGCTATCTGACAAAACTAGTGGGGTCAAATGTTTAAAATAAGCATGCTTAGATGAACATTGAATGTGTTTGGAGAAAATATGATTATGTATATCATGCTATAGAATATGCAGTATGTGTATGTGGGCATGGAGGGTTAGGAAAAGATGTTGTGGTACAAGTAGCTTCTGTGATATTTCGGTGGCATTTTTCTATATGATTTTCTTGGTTGTGTACCACCTTAAGCATTGCATAGCATGGTAGACCCACATTTGATAAGTCAGACAGTTGTCATACACTAATCAGTTCAGAGTTCATACATAGTGTTTTTCTCTCTCTCAATGTTGTTGGCCAAGCATTAGGTATTCTTTTTAATATATATAAAAAAGTCTCTCTCTCTCTCTCTCTCTCTCTCTCTCTCTCTCTCT